GTGAACTCGCGTCCACTCACCTATATGCCTATATCTCCTTGGCAATTCCATCAGCTCTAAGCCTTTGTCAGAACTCAGCAACGATGGACCACTCCTACGTAGAGGCTGGCTCGCTTCTCAACAACTGGCTAACACCTTTTGGAAGCGATGGCTTAGGGAGTACCTTCCAATCATCACTTGATATCGATAAAAACTAAACTGTCAACTCGCTGTCTACGTGCCGATCGCTGATTGGCTTTCGTTAATCGACTGTCAAAAGGGGAGAAGTCCATGGCGAAGAAGAGATGAAAAGGCAGGAGATTTTTCTTTTTTCTATGGCGAACACGAGGCAAGAGAGGACAAGTTTTGTAACGCAGCGAAGAATTTGATAAATTTCTGTAGTTATATATTGTAACTTAAAATATTATTATTAATAAAGGCGCGTTTAAAAAAGGTCAACACTTATTTTAACAAAAATTAGTTTTAACGTACGACTAAGACTATATGCCTATGAGTTTATTACGCTTTAAGGTGAAATTAGTCAAGAACGCAGAATTTATCCTTAAACGCTGTCTGTATACGCAGAATTCTGTCGATTACTGGAGCCCTCAGTGTTATTTACTACAGTGTTGCCACTCCTCAATGGCATTTCATAAACTTACTTTTTCAACTACAATTTTTCGTCCTATAATAGATGCTAGCTAAATATAAATAACTAATTTTTCTACAAAAAAAACTTTAGTCGATAGTAAATTTCAAATATTTTAAACGTATTTTGAACAGGAACTTATAACTTTTTTACCATCTGCAAAATCGACGAAGTGGTAACCGTCTATAGAAGGAAGACACGGGAGACAGCTGACACGGAAATATCTAAATACCGCAGATTTCTGCGCTACGGGCTACCACTACAGAAAAATTCTGCTGTGTTGAGTTTTAATTTACATGGCGCTCTGGTAAGACAGATCGTGTCAGCTGACTCGGGTTTACGTTCTTGACTAATTTCACCTTTAATTTTTATACTTCTTGCCTGCCCCAAATCAGCAACGGATAAACTTTCTAATACCATGTTCGGACCAACATCGAGAACATGTTTACGTTGCTATAACTGGTTTCTTCCCTAAAACTTGTGTTTTCGGCCATGTAAAATCTACCAAAGGAAAACCAGCTTTCGCTGAAAACCACGATTCAATAATTGAAGGTTTGCTCATTAGTGACATTAGAGGTTTGACACTCCCTCAACTCCCTTACAAAAGGTTGCACACACGTACGCATCCACACACTGAGGGAGCTGATTTTGTCAAGAGGGAGCGAGAAAACTGTTTTCTGATCAAACCTTTTATAATTGAATCATGGCTGAGAACTACTTGAAAACTCACGTTCCACTCATTCCAATTGGTGTCTGTTCTAGTTTTTTTCGATTATTTATCAAGTGGAAGTCATATTTTCTCATTTTTAATATGCCAATTCGATTTTACTGTTAATTGGCTGGCCAAATTAAAATATAAACAAAAGAAAAAGGCTGCTAATGATAAGAAAATTAAACACAAAGATTTTGATTTGGTTTTTTTTTATAGCAAAACTGTAAACAAAGGATGAAAGAAATGTCAACGAAAACACTATTTCACAATTTCAGATGGCCTACTTAAGTAGAGATTGTTAATTAACTTCCACTATTCATTTTCAGATCATACATTTAATCTGCACTTAAATGGCCAATATTGTCTATTTAAATATTGGATATGCAACCCTGTGTTTGTACCAAACAACCAAGATTGATTGGTAGGTTGTTTAATCAATCCCACTAAAAAACAATCAGCTGTTTAGCACAAAATGTAAACAAAAAAGCAAGTGCAACAATGGTCACGTTCATAAGACGTAGCTGTTTAGCTCATCTGCTACGAAATTGCTGGCTGCTGCTGTTGTACCTAACAATTACGTCTTAGAAACGGCTTGATGAATATGCTGCCAAATGAACAGCTGATAAATGTAAACAAATGAAATTGCAACAAATAGAGATAGTTGCGCCGATACGATTTAGAATTCAACGCTGAGCGGCCGCCGTGTTGAAAAAATCGTTCAATGTTACAATGAATTAAACAGTGTAAAATTATATAGCAAACATCTTAAAAACATATATTTAGAAACGTAGTATTATTATAAAATATTTTAGTTACTTTACGTCAGTAATATAAAATATAATAAATTTGTTTGCAACTGCCACCTAACAAAGCGGCGTTAAATTTAATATAAGCGGCGTAAGTATTTTCGATCAGCTGTTTAGGCTAAGCCCAACACGTTGAGTTCTGGTAGCGTAAAAATTTTCCGCTGGAAAAAATGGCGGAAAGTTGCCAACTGTTGGGCTGAGCGTAACTACTAAACTGTCTAAGACAAACAGCCAACGGTTACCCAACAGCTACGACTTATGAACGCGCCCAATAATTTCAAAGAACATGTAGCAGTGCTGCCAATTGTTTGACATATTTAAACAAAGTTGATCTGAAAACCAACGAAAATTAAATGGCTTTTAAACAACAATCCACAATTAAACTTAAGTGCCATTTAAATATTCATTTGGAAATGGCCCTAAGGCCCAATTCCAAATGGCCTATTTAAGTTGAGATTGTTGGTTAACTTCCACTTTTCATATTTAGATTATACTGTTATGGGCTGTTTTTGCTTACGCGTAAAAGCACATTTAGCGCATTTAGCTCTAAATGCTACTCTAAATGTACATTTATCCATACAAAATTCGCCACCTAAATGCAACTCCATTTTTGCATTAAGAATCTAAATGCTAAAAGCAACCCTGTGATCTTCCAAAACTTCCACGATTCGAACATGGTTTAATGAGAAAAAGTGGCAACATTGCTTTTTCGAGTATACAGTGACTAGCTGCGTTTCAGTGATCGCCGATCGAGATTTCATTTATTGTTTTACATTATTTGGATAAAGAAAATTTAAGCAAATTCAACATCGATGTGATGCTGATAGAAATATGTATCACTTTTTGTGATCAATTCTGTTCGTTTTGTTTCCTAATTAAGTGAGGAAATTTTAATTGACAGCACCGACAAATGAATATATACACAAAAAATGTTTCAATTCAAGTTTTTTGTATTGAACTTTAGGTCCATTTTTTCCTTTTCAGGGTTTTTGCACATTATCTTCTGCGTGAGAATTGATCGTAATAGATACGGATCTGAATAAGCGACTGGAACACGGCTGTTTGTCAAAAGAATACGATTTCGAACTCGCGTAAATGTACATTTGCTAAATGCGATAGCATGAACGCTCTTCGAAAACATATGTTCAAAAGTGCTAAATGTTTCATTTTAAATGCAGCAAAAACGCTGCATTAAGGCCAAAACACAATAGCGCAGTGGCAGTGGCAGTGACAGTTTTTAAAATCAGCTGTTACTGCTAATATTGGCAGTCAATGCCGCAGCAAACACAATACGGCGTTGTCAGTGACTGCTTTTTTTGACATTCCCTTTTGTTTGTTTACATTTTTGTTGTTGCCTTTTAGGCTTCAGTGACATCAACAGATGTTGGCTGCGTTTCATTTATGTCAAATTCAGCATGCGAAGTTTGCTGCGATGGAGGCAGTGGCAGTGAATTTAGAATTTGGGCTAAACTGAGCAGTACTGCTAGCTGCCACTGCTGTATTGTGAGTCGCTTCATTGGACACCACACTTTCTAAAAAACAGCTGATTTCGAAAAACTGCCGCTGCCACTGCCACTGCGTTATTGTATTTTGGGCTTTACGATTATCCTTGAACCCTCGTCCGGATTTCCCAAATCTTCCGGTTCGTATCGCTGGATTGTTAAATAAATGCCAACGATGACCAAATTGTAGTACAATTAACTTTATTGTACAACAAACAATTTACAATACTTGCTAATACAGTAAAAACGCTTTACAATACTTGTGAAAGCAATAACAACGCTTTACTACTTGTTAACACACTTAAACTTATAGCTTGCTTATTCGCAACTCACTTCTCCGCTCACTTTACTTGTAGCTTGCTGACTTGTAACTAACTCACCTCGCTGTGGCGGCGCCCTTATATACCTGCGCTGCCACTTATGGCAACTCTAGAACATTCTGAAGTTTATCGCTCATTCTCTTTCTCTCGCTGTT